AAACAGGTACTGATTAGACATGATGGTACTTATTATAAAGTCCACATTTGTAGACTCCAAAATATTAAGTGGCAGAATGGGAGACATTTTTAGAAATCCCTAAAGAAAATGATGAACAAGAAGAAATTGGCCCCAATACTAACAGTGGAGAGTATGAACATAATACCATCCAGAGTGAAGACTGAAGAAAACAATGAACAAGAAGAAATTGGCCCCAGCATTAACAGGGGAGCAGATGAACATAATACCACTCAGGGTGAAGACAGGGAAGAAAACAATGAACAAGAAGAAATTGGCCCCAGCATTAACAGGGGAGCAGATGAACATAATACCACTCAGGGTGAAGACAGGGAAGAAAACAATGACAATGAAAAAAAAAAAAAAATGTGAAGGTACCTACAGTGAATGTTCCAAAGATCGGCTGTTACATAAAATGTTCCCTAAAAGATGGAAGTGGACAATTTACTGCAAAAGTTCTTTTGCATACTGGAAAAGCAACAGGTCAATACAAGAACTGTTTTAATATCCGCAGGATTGATACAGGAACAGATGAATGGATTGATCTGGAAAATCGTGTAGATGACTGTCAGTAGTTTGATGAAGATGCTGCCTTGGATGCTGCCTTGGAGGCCTCTAAGGTCAATGAATTATTCAATGCAAAGACTGCAGATTTTGAAAATTGGAAGAAGTACAGGTTGTTTGAAGAGGTAAAAGCTGAGGGGCAACCATGTATATCATTAAGATGGGTGGTCACAGAAGAGATAAAAGAGGGAGTGAAAATAACGAAAGCTTGACTAGAAGCAAGAAGTTTTGAGGAAAGACAGGAGATAGCTACAGATTTCCCTATTTGTTCAAAAGACTCTTTAAGACTTGCAATATTCATGGTCTCCATCTTTGGTTGGAAATATAATTCATGGGATATCAGTACAGCATATTTATAAGGAAATGCAATTAATAGGAAAATTTATTTAAAGCCTTCAAAAGAATTCTACAGTGGATTGTTGTTGCTACTGAAGAAAATCATATATGGCCTAGGGGAAGCAGCAAGAGCATGGTACCTTAAGTTAAAGGAAATATTGCTGGAAGCTGGAATGACAGTGTCAAAATTGGACCCTACATTCTTTTATCTTAATGTTGATGGTGAGTTGCTTGGAATTATATGCAGTCATGTTGATGTCTTTTGGTCAGGAACAGAAAGGTTCACCTCTTTGTAGAATCAAGAAGTTTTCCATTGGAGCTTACAGCACTGACACTTTTAAATATATTGGCTTGAATATTGTACAGAAGAAAGATTGGATTGAAATTCACCAAATAGATTGTATAAACAATTTAGAAATGATAAACATAATTGGAAGTAAAAGTGATAAAGTAAATGTGGAAGAATTAAAGAACCTGGAGTGTCTTGTTGGTGAGTTGAACTGGGTGAGTGTTCAAACATGTCCTGATGTGTCTTTTGATGCATGTGAACTGAGCGGAGCAATTAGGGTGGCACAGGTTGGACATATATACACAGAGCGAATAAAGTAGTAAAGAAAATACAGGAAAGGACAATCAGCTTAAAGTATTTTTCCTTTTTTTCCATAAAAAAAAAAAAAAAATGGTGATTCAATGCTTTAGTGATGCATCATTTGAAAGGTGGAGGAGTAGGAGGAGGATCTCATGGAGGCTATGTTATCTTGTTCAGTAACAATGAAAGATGATATTGACATGATAGTTGAGATGAGTTTGACAAGTTGTGAAATTTGTTATGGCTGTAGAAATTTTAGCTCTGCTCAATGCTGCTGAAGCAGGAATACATCTAAAGTCTACTTTTGAAAGAAGTATTCAAGCTTGGTGGAGACTCACCTATTGTGAAATGCTATGTTGACAGTAAATTCCTTGTTGAGTCTGTGTACTCCACAAAACTAGTTCAAGATAAAAGTCTTAGGATTGATATATCTGTCCTTAAGATGATTGAGCAAAAGGAGATCCATGCAGTATTCTGGGTTCAGTCAGCCCACCAGTTTGTTAACATATTGATCAAGAAGGGTGTATCTCCAGATGCCCTGATGATGTCTTGGAATTGTTTGACATCTCGAGAAACTAAAGAGAGGGAGATTGTTGAGATAATTGAGTTGACCAAATGCATGGTTGGAATAGAGAAAGATCAAGAATGGTGGCGCTAGTAGATAATTTACATAGCAACAGCCAATCAGGATCTGCCTTGAGATAAGCTGGTGGCAGGAGCTGGCTATGTAAGCTCAGTGTTTGGAAGACCTCAGAGCTGTCAATCTGGATAGAGGAATCTTTGCTAGAGGAAATTGACAATATGCACAAATATGTTTTGTGAATTTTGGGTGCTCTCAGATAATTATGTACATATTAACAGAAATCACTCTCAATTGGTGAAATAATAAACATAGGTGCATCAATAAGTTTATAGCCTAATGATGAAAATGTAATTATTTTGAAAAAATAATATTTTTCAATATAATACTCTTCCTAGTTGATGCCCTTAACTGCAGACTTTACAATTACTCATATTGATTCAATATTATACAGTAAAACCAGATCAGAATTCAGCCTATAACAACATATCAAGTAGCATCTATTGCTCTCCACCTCTTTTTGTGTGTGTATGTATGATTTGAATCTCACCACAGTTGATTTGTCAAGAAGGAGACTTCCTTATGTTGTTGGTCTGGAGGGGGTGATCCTAGTGTGCGGCACCTTTAAGAAAGTGCCTGAAAAACATACCATGGCTTGTGAGTGAAATTGGTAGACGGGACACTTGGGAGTTGTCGATAGTTGTGCTAGCACAAAGTCACAAGTCATCATGACCGAGGGTTTGAGTGTGCTGGCCTTATTCACATTGTTGATCACACTAGATAACACACTCTTTCCCAGAAACTGTAGGTAAGTGCGTAGTTCCGTAGAAGGCCTTCGTTTGCCGTAGCCGGACGCGCGTCGCCCGCCTCGGCAGTGATCGGCGAAATTACTTTTCGGACTAAGTTACGATTTAGTTGCAGTATAAACCACAGGTGGGCTGTGTAGGTGTTGAATAAACACATGTTCCTGGGTGAGTGTCTGCAATAGGGATTGGCTAGCTGCCCTAGTAGACAGGTATCCTCAACTATGAGTGGCATTATATATATATATATATATATATATATATATATATACACACACATGTGTAAAGGGTGATCCAATAACTTGGACTGATTTTAAATATGATTTAAGTTTAAAATCGGTCCAATTTATTGTAACACCCTTTATATACATACACATACACACGTGGGTGTCTTGTTTCATAAAGCCTGAAACCCTGTTGCAACTTGGGGTCAACTTCAGTGTCCACTCCTATATTTAAACACATTCTATCCCTGATATTGAGCACTTTTATGTAGTATATTAGGATGAAAATTGTGGATCTTTTTAATTCCTCCTCCCCACATGTGTGTAACTTGAGCATCATTCCCTGTAACAATAATTTCAATGTATAGATAACATTTTTTTTTTTTTTTTTTTTTTTTTTTGAAGGCTTTCAAAGGAGTTTAAAATAGAGCGTTCTTATATAATAAAAGGAAATACATATAGTTAGAAATATGGATTAAATACAACAGAATGATTAAAATGAACTACTTGTTCCTTACAAGTAGTTCAATTTTTATAAATTTACCAAGCTTTCAAAAATTTCTGAAGCTAAGTAAATACCTAAACATGTTAAATTTATATAGATTTACCTATTTGTTGCTTATTTAATCATGCATATGGAAAAGTCTTTACAATGTGTTTTGCTTCCATGTGGTAGGCAACTCGAGGTCAGAATGACAGACAAAGCTGTGTGTAAGGAAAGTGTTGGAATTTTTGAAGGTGGAGTGATAAATAAGCTTACTATCTGGAAATGTCTGTTGGATTAGAATTTAGCCAACTCTGGGTAGATTTGTATGTAGGTATTTATTTTACAGCATAATCTCCTTTATTGTCAATGCACTTGAGTTCAGTGATGAATATTAATCATATACAATGAACATTATAGAATGAAAATTTCAGATCAAAAAACAGCTCATAACTCATCTCAAGTAAGGGAACAATTTGCAGAATGCCTAATTGTGACTGTGATATTAGATCAATGTAAGATGTGTACATTGGTTAAGAGAAGGAACTAAGATCAAGACCAAAGAATTCTTTTAGAATAATGGCTTTGTGGAAGAGATTAAGGGCAAAAGAGGAAGGGGGACAGTTAATGGAAACTTTATGGAAAAATCTTGTAATATTATCATCAAGTATTATAAATACTAAGAAAGACTACTGCCAATTGTACTTTGTTGGGGTGAATTGTATTGAAATCTTTTCATGGCTTTCGGACCAATTTCTTATATAAAAAAAAAAAAACTAGGTTGAAATGCTACTTGTCAATAGTAAATGTTTGTTATTCTTTCAGTGTTATGTATGATTATCTTAATTTGTCATTATTACTATTGTTGCTTTCCTATCCTATGTCTGGTGAATGCTGTTTAAGACTTGAAATATTGTTTTGATGGAGTTGTACAATAGACAGACAAGAAATAATCATTTTAAAAAAGATTTTCTTTCATACAACTCCAGATTACAAATATAAGAAAAGAAAAAAAAAAAAAAATTTTATAAAAGTTAATAGCAGTGTCCAGTTTGCTATGTAAATTCATTCCTACATGGAAGCCAAAACAAATATGCTTATATGATGTGATTTCTTAAAATGAATTTAAAAAAAAAAATTTTGAAATGTGTAAATTATATTTTTTATCACTTTAAGCAAAGCAATAAAGCCACTAAGATGCAAGGGTTTGCTGAGAGTGAATGAAACAGGACAACAAAAGTTCAGGATTCAAGGACACAGAAGATGACAATTGACATTGCATTTAAATTTTTGAAGATCATAATTGACAGGAAAGCAATAAGTTTGAAATGTTCCACAAGTGACAAGTGTCAGGGAAGAAACTGTTAGCATAGAACTTGAGTTACATCTAGTAATTTCTGGCTTATGGCCATATCATGTTGAAACATTGATTCCTGTATGATCCCTGAAGTTAAGCAACATAGAGCCTGGTCATTACCGAGATGGGTGACTGCTTGGGAATATCAGGTGCTGTAAGCTTGAATGTGCAGGTGATATAACAGATATTGGCACGTAATTGTTAATTGGAGAGGCCAAGTTCCAATTCCTTTTGGGTTCATTATATTCACTTTGGGAAAAGGATGAATCCACCTCTTCCCCTCCTAATATGGGTTAATTAGTAAGACTTGTATCACTAAACCATTATCTCCCCCTCCTCCCCCAAATTCTTGAAAATGTTTTCTGACTAAATAATCTGCAAATGGTTGATAAGCCATAGAAAATGAATTGATCAATCTAGCAATTTCAATAGTGAAATTGACTTAGATGCTAGTCTAGTGCTGTGCTTAAATTTGTGAAATGTAGGTCCAAAAGCTGAAACCTGTTACCAATAAAAAAAAAAAAAAAATCTGAATATCAATCTTTTTTTTTTTTTTTTTTTTTTTTTTTTGCCTTTTAAGAAATTGCAACATATAAGAGTATTCTTGTTTTGGCTCCTGTAGGTGGATCAATTTGCATAGAGGGTGGACCCCTCTATGTAAATTGATCCTATGGAATAAAATTAAAAAAAAGAAAAATTATTTATATTAATAATCTCAGTGCTGAATATGAAAAATCTGAAGAAAATGCTTATTTCTGGTCACAATGCCTATTGTATCACAAATTATTTTTCTTGATTCCACCAGTCTAGACTTTCACAGCTAGAACCTGCCATGCACAAACACCTAGTTTGCTCCTCATCATTCCTTTCATATACCATTGGTAAGGAGTAAGTTCCACTCAGGCAGCTTCTTTCTTCAGAACTGTTGCAATGTGGAATGGACTCCAACCTCTTCAGGTCTAGGACCAATTATCTCTTCTACATATCCTCATAATATGCAACCCTTGCTCCCTCCCTATATACCCTTACAACATCCCCATTCTGTAACCCTCTACCTTGAGTGACACTTAAGCCCGGCTGAACAATAGTAAAAAAAATAAAAAACCCTGCTAATTTATAAACATTGAAAATCTATTGAATAAAGTTTATGTAGGTGTATTTTGATGTTTTTATATTCTTTTTTAACTTCTGTTGGACAAAGATCCGAGTGATAATATTTGAAAGCTTACCTTATGTCAGTATTTTAATGTTGGGAATAATCTCTTGCCATTGTAGGTGATCACATTTTGTCATTTTTGGTCATTCATACTTAAATGGTCACCTGAGATACTCATAAATTTAAACAACCTTTTATTCCATAAAAGTGTGGAAGAAGTTAAAATGCATGTCATATTCTGTTCATTACAAAGCAACAGATATTGGCAATTTTCATCTTTCAGCAGCTAATTAATAGAATTATTTTAAAGCTTTAAGCTAATGTTTTTAATGTCTCTTTGTAATAGCTTGTAAAGAAGGGTTATGGGAAAGCATTGATATTAATCAACTTCAAATATGCCAAATGCTTGCCCTCAGATTTAACGTAAAAGCAGTAAATGTATACAGTCCTCACTTGGGGGAAAAGATTGTGGACAGAGACCGTGTGAATTTTGAATCAATGGAACAAAAAAAATAGTACCGATATTTTGATTAACTTGTAAATATTTATACAAAATTTATAGAGGCTAAAAGAACATCTGTCTATATTTCTGAGATGAGGTATTGTAACTATTTAGGCTATTTACATTGTTCAGACTGTTGTCTTCATCTTTGTTGTTACATTCACAACATTTTGGCTGTTGTATGCTCTGACCTTCTTCAGGTGATATTTGTTGGAATTTCGAACCAAACCCTTTTAGTTCACAGGGGTAGGTTGTTCTAATTCCACATGCTATGCCTTTGGATGTCTTAGTTTCAGTTAATTTGCCTAGATAAGTTTTTGTTCTTGGGGATACATGGCCCAGGTAATAATTGTTGGTTAATTGATCCTAAAAGAGACTTGACCCAAAGAGTTGAGTTCAATGCCTGGCCTCAGTGGAGAGACCAAAAACTTGGAGGTGGAGTGAATAAGAACTTATCAAGGTGAATTAATTGAAACTAAGATATCCAAAGGCATGGCATGTGGAATTAGAACAATCTAACAACTCATAGACTAAATGAAAGGTTTGGTTTGAAATTCAAATATCACCTGAAGAAGGCCAGAGTGTACAACATCTGAAATGTTGTGAATGTGACAACAAAGTTGAGGACAACCATCTAAACAATGTAAATAGAGCTAAAAGAACATTAAGATTGATTAGATATGCAGAGTTAAAAAAAAAAAAAAAAGTATCAATTGACATTACCTTGTGAAAAAGAAAATTTATAAAAAATATGCTTGTTGCAAAGTTTGTTTGAAATGGAACACTTTCATTATTTTGCCCTTGTTCACTTTTTTATCAACATTATGAAAATGGAATATTCTTGGTAGAGAGAAATGAGTTTGAGGTTTGTTTAGCATAGTATGGCACAAGGTCAAATGAGGAAATGGGTGTTTGTAAAAATTAATTTATATCGATCTTCCAAAGAATTGAACTTCTCAACATGAGGTAAGTTATTCAGAAATAGCCTCAAGCGATTTGCAACCCTGCCTTCCATTTTTGTGGAGGAGTTAGACAACAAAACTGAAACCAAGATATAGTTGGCAGTATAATAATATCTGTCCTTTATTTCATAAAGGATCTTTTATGTACAATTTCTCTTTAGGATTTAGGAGATCATGGCTCTCCACTACTTTCCATTTGCAGTTCTAATCAGTTTGTCCTTTTACTATTTTTCCCAGTTCCTGTTCTGGCATTCATTTACATGAGCTTGTTAGATAGGTCAATCACTGTTTCCTCTTTTGCATTCAATGTCTTGTGAGTTTTCTATTCTTAAAGCCCTCTTTCTTTATACCAGAAATTTCAGCTGTTTCTTACTAATTCTAAGTACAAGTGTCAGTTATGTTCCCTATTTTCCTTTTAAGCTTTCTCATTGTTTATTTATTCTGTCCATGGTATTCTCAACATCATTCTGTAGAACCATGTTTTTTTTTTTCCTCAAGTCCTCCCTTCATCTGCGAAGAAATTGTTCAGTATCCATTGCCATATAGGAGGATTGAAATTACATAGCAGTTCAGTACTCTTTACTTTGTATTTATGCATTTCTTTTTGAAACCAAAATTATTATTACACAGCACTTATTTCGATTAACCTCCATTACATAGAATGATTAATTCTCTGCTTATGTAAATATAAAAAAAAAGTCCGAGTTGGCAATAACATAAGCAACAGATGGCTGTGAAAAAGGTACTGTTGGTTGTTTACAGCTAATTTGTTTAAATAATTGTAGTAAAAACATTGCAAACTGTCATAAATTTAAAGCTTTACATTCAAATAGTTGCAAATCCAATCTTCTCATGATTGACTTTCTTTACCGCCCTCCTTGTTTTCTGCCCTTGACTTTATATGTATTCAAAGGCATATACGATAATCCATATGCACCATTCTGGATTATTCCATCAACTGTTTTCTTTTTATAAAGGACAGAATGAATTTTGCCTGTTTGTTTTTTTTTTTTTCTTATATCATTGAACCAATGACATCAGCAGGCACACATCCTCAGCCTTTTTTGAAGGTAAGTGGGTTTCTTCTGCACAGTAATGCACAAACTAATGTTTGTGTCATGTGACAATAATTGTAAGTAAAATGATACACTAAAATAAGTAACCAAGTAATCGTTTTAAGTTTTCTGAATATTGGTGCCTTATTATTTAGTGATATTGATTTTTTTTCTTTGCCCCCCCCTTTTTTTTTTTACAAATATTCAATTTGAGTAGAAGAATTTTTCTGAAATCAGTTTATACAAGTCATCCAGTTTATATAATATAGTTGAAGATGGCAATATGGTAATTTGTATTTTTTTCTTTGACTCTGAGCTTCAGAAATGAAAAGAACTGTCAGCATCTCATGTTACACTTTCATGAAGAGAGGAATAACAGATTCAATTTTGATTCACTTATTTCCATGTCAATTATAAATGGATTTCATTGAACTTGGAAAATAATTCAAATAAATCACCACTGTCATGCTTGACATTTTTTTAGTTTCTCACAAAGCAGAATCATTGATTCTCTAAAGAAAGTTCAGTTACCAATTCAAAAATACCAATGAAATTGTTAAGGCAATTTCCATTTATGACAACCATTTGATTTGAGTATGCAGCAACAAGCATTAAAGATCTTTTTTTATTCTGAATGCAGAGCTGTTTCCAACTGCTGAAAATTGAAAGCATTTAATTTGACATTATTGTTGTGATCACTCTTCTTTTTTATTTTCTTCTTCATAAAGCTTAACATATTTTTTAACAAGAATTTACCTGTGAATTACCTAATAGTTTCTGAAGATGTTGGGCACAACATCTTTATGATGGTAGTCTCTTAAAATCAGATGAAGATTAATATGTTGCACAGTCAATATCTGTGGGTATACATCCAACTTCTGAGGCTAAAGTGGGATGCACAGATGTGGTTGCTGGTGGAGCAAAGGGACACCCAACTGTTAGGTCACAAGCAGATACCTTCCTGTATCTTGGCTCACCTTGAGTTGTTTCACGTGCCAGGTAACTTGGAAGATCTTTACTGCTTTGAACAGAGGTTTTACCTCTTGGACTAATTGGCAGAAGTGTGTTTAAGATTCTGAGGCTGGAGTACAATGAACTTCAGTTTGAATTTGAGATTCTTTGGACCTCTTCCTTGGGTATGGCTGTTCTGCTCCAGTTCTCATCATAACAATTGATACAGCATTGTAGACTCCTCTCTGATGGTCATATGGCCAATCCATTTGAGCTGAAACTTCAAAAACCTTGGTTTTGATGTTTATGGAATTTGATTGATCCAAGACAGTGAGGTTGGTGATGGTGATAGTCTTTATGGTGCAGAACACTAGTGTAGAAATACTATTTACATTATTCGGACTATTGCCCTCATCTTTGTCACCATATTTATTACAATGCATTGGCTGTTGTACACTGCGGACTTCTTCAGGTGGTTGAAATGTCGAACTGCACCATTTATTTCGCTCACTGGGGTAGACTGTTCTTGTTCC